TTTGAAAAAGATCCAGTTCTACTATATATTAAGTTTCCTTACTTCTTCCTTTACTATATTGAAAAATATTTACCCTTAAAGCCTGACGTAAAATTCCAATAGAACACCTAAGAAGGTACTACATTTGAAAAAGATTCAGTTCTACTATCTATTAAGTTTCTTTACTTCTTCCTTTACTCCATTGAAAAACATTTACCTCTAGAGCCTGATACAAAATATCCTCTAACGTGGAATTTCTATTTTATAATACAAAGGGAGTTCCAATAGAAAACTTAAGAAGGTCCTACATTTAAGAAAGATTCAGTTCTAGCACCATTAACACTTTATCTACCGGGCTATTTAGAAACAGTGTTTAATTCAAAAAAGAATTTTCTACAGTAGAATATGCCAATCTAGGCTGAGAATGATTCCTCCATACTGTTACTGGGTACATTGAAAGCCAAGTCTGTTTCCAAACACTGAACAATGTAAGTAGACAACCATCGATACAGTAAATAAATTGAAAAAGCTAAATATTGTAATTAAAAAGCCTATAAATAGAACCTATAAATTCACGGTAAATAAAGTGTTAATACCTTAAAAAGAACACACAAGAAAGTGTCAGTTTTAATTTTCCTGCCCGCGACTAGCCCCTTAAGTTTCCCTACATCTTCCTTTACTCCATCGAGAAATATTTACCTCCAGAGCCCGACGTAAAATATCCTCTAACGTGGAATAAGGTGCACAAATTTCTACGGGCGATATCTGTAGTACTTTCTGAGAAATGGGTGTATAAAGTTAACCAGAGCTCGTATCGTCGAGACAGGCGCGCGGTGCCTGGAGCTGTTGGAACGCCAACTGTGGCGAGACCGCCTGGAGTGCGAAGGGTTAAACGCAATCGCGGAAGTTGAACATTGTGTTCATACGTTACGTAAACGTTTCACGGTCTCCGGACTGCTCGCTCGTCGATAAGACGAAATACGTATACTGGGAATCGTGTACGCAGGAAACTGTTGCGTGGCGTTTTCGATAATGCGAATTAAATCGACGCGGACGCGGAGGTGTGAACGAAAGAACGTTCGCGGTGCAAATGCGGTTTAACGATCGACGACACGCGGCCGACGCGGCGCGACTCGCCCACTCTCATCGGCCGGAAAACTGCGATATCATCCTTCTGCAGCGCGATGATCTTGACAGTGACCGCCTGGCGATCAATGGCGCCGTCATTTAGAGGAGAATCGCGTTCCCGCGCGCTTCGCTGCGCCATTTGTTAGCGGGATCGACAGGACCGTGGATCTATAGAGATCTATAGTATATCCAGATCGCTAGCACTTGTTGTTTTAGTACATAAAAAGAGCCTGAGGTACATGAATTATTCGGCGCAGGCGTCAAATAAAATTTTTGAGGTTTATTTATAAGAAGTATGTTAGTATGGTTCGATGCTAAAGTCACTGGTATTTGTATAATACAGATAAATGTTTATCAAGTACATACAAAAACACGCATGTATGCAATAAGTAGACTGTGATTTTCTATAGACATTTATAGAAAATTTGAATGTACAGGAACCTACAAAATGCAAACAGTATGCAAAAACTATAAAAAAGATTGAGAGTAAAGTTCATGTTGTAATGAATAATGATGCATTTATAGGAAATTTGAATGTGCAAAAAGTATATCAGTCCGATGGTAAAGTGACTGGTATTTGTATAATGTAGATAAGTGGTTGTCAAGTACATACAAAAACACGCATGTATGCAATAAGTAGACTGTGCGGATCTTGGTGCATTTATAGGAAATTTGAATGTGCAAGAACCTACAAAATGCAAACAATATGAAATAATATAAATAAGGTTGAAAGTAAGGTTCATGTTGTAATGAATAATGATGCATTTATAGGAAATTTGAATGCGCAAGAACTTAAAAATGCAAACAGTATGCAATAATATAAAGAAGATCGAAAGTAAAGTTCGTGTTATAATATTTGTAGGATAAAATAAATTCCTATTTAGGTGCAATTTTTGTGGGCACGTCCGCCAAGATTTTATTTTGCATAAAGATCCGCAGTCTAGCGATATGTTTCTGTAGCATATATTCTTGCGGCCATATACTGAGGCTTCCTTAGCGATGTAGATACAGTATAGATATTTGTAAGCTCGACACGGATGCTCGGCTTTGTTAAAGTCGCACTCGGGCTCGTCGAACGAAAGTAAAGAAATATCCAACGGGTAAGAGTCAGAAACCTTCCTCGAAATTAACAGGTTCAACATCCTGTAGCATCTCATCTCCCAATCCAATAATAAGGAGCCAAACAACAACAATAATAGCAGAGTGGGGGATGGCAATCTGAAACATCCCATTTCGAATCTCCGTGCCATGTTTTTCGTTTACATCCCTACAATAATTAATTAAAAAAGAAGACCTAGTATCTCAAGTGCGCGAACGCGCCAAGTAAATCTCCTAATATCAAATAATATTAAAAGCGTCGATTATCTTATCTGTTCGCCAAAACTCGGTTTCCTCGTTCGAGATTCTCCGCGATGGAACGAGCAATTTCACTTAAATTACTCGTTGTACACCGCGCGACTATTAAGTCCTGCGAAATAGAAATCCGCGAAGACCCACGCGTGACCGTTACGTCTGGCACAATTTCAAACCGCTTTTAAGCATCAACGGTTTGAAATCGTGGGCCGTTCGAGCTCGAGGCGAGCTTTACTTCGATCGAAGAAAAATCCGCGAGATTGAACCGAGCGACGGGGACCGCGACGCGTGAGAACCCTCCAGGAAACCGGAAGTGTACGAAATTAGTCCAATTTCGTGCGCGACAAGTGGAAAAATGTTCGCCAATGGCGACCCACCGTTGCTCGGGACACACGTGTGCCGCGACAGGAAATAGTCGGTAGTCCCTGTCGAATTGTATTCAAAAATGTCCGATTCGTGCAAAAATGAATGATACGTTATCGCGTAAAGGTAGATTTAGACCATACGACGCGGACCGTCACGTTCCGGCAACGACACGTATCGTCACCGACACGACAAAACATTCAAACAAGCGTTTCAATGGAACTATTAGGTCGTCCCATAAGTTCGTGCCGAAGACTGTGTCGAAATTTAATAAAAAACCACAGAAGTTTTCTAGTAACGGTATAATGACTATATGGGAGAGGTGAGAGACTATTGTCAAATGAGACAGATTATCTTTTCTTGTGACACTTAAGAGTATGTTTAACATGTTAATTTGAGAAATAGAAGTATAAATGGCACGAACTTTTAGGACGACCTAATATTCACACTTAAGGAGGTATCCTGAATTAGGAGGTTTAAAAAAAAACGGATTCTCGTGAATTTTTTTAGAATGGAAACAAATAATTAACTCTATCGAACTTTTTATCCTATTTTCATACATACTTGAGTAGTCTGTAGAAATGTTGTCAACAAGAAATATTCAAATTGAGTCGAGTGCGACGCACATTCGTAGAGCACCTCAGAATTAAAACCTGCTATCGACGGAAGAGATGCGGGTCGTACTTTTGGTTTAAAAAAAAATCATTTTCATACATTTTTCTTTTATGCGAACTAAGAAAACCCCGCAAAAATAGTGAAATGTGAAATTACTGCAAGTTTGAAAAAAAGAACGAGTTCTTTGTGTGAAAAAAAAATCACTGTAACTTGTTGAAAAAGTTGTTTAAAATTTTTTTTTCTATGAATTTTCTTAGTAAAGTCACTGGTATTTGTATAATGTAGATAAGTGGTTGTCAAGT